GAGCCGGCGGCGGCGCTTCGCGAGTTGACGCTCCGCACGCGCTGCACATGCCCTGCCGCCAACGACGGCGATGGCGATGGCGTGGCAGAGCGGCCATCGGCAGTGCGTGGGACGAAGTGGTTCCAAGACGTGGCGCGGCGCTATGGTATGCTGCGACAGCGGCTGCGGGACGCGCGCCAAGATGACCTCGCGGAGGCTGCAGAGGTGGCGCGCAGCTTGTACCCGGCCGGGTGCGCAGTGCCGGAGTATGTCAACGCCCTGCAGACATGCGCGGCGATGCTCAGCAGCACGGTGCCCAGTCACACCGTTGCGCGCTTCGCAGAGCACCGCGTTGCGGATCTCGTCGCGCAGGGCCGTGAAACGGTGACGGCAGATGAACTTCTTAGTGACTTGATAGAGCGGCCGCTGTTGGACGCCGTGACACCGCCGCAGTGGTGGCTGAGTGACGCCGAATGCGCCGGTGCGGCGTCGGTGAAGAGTGTGCGACTTCGTGCGCAGCCGACGCAGATTCTTATTGTGTATGATTGGTGTGGAAGGCTTCGCCACCGTCGCATCCATCTCGCTGGGGTGCTGCACGAAAACGGACCAACAGCACCACTCGCTAAGCGTCTTGCGCGCGTGCACGGCGCCCTGATAAAGGAAGAGCGGTTCCTCGCGTACCTGCTGCGCCTTCAGGGTCTCATGAAGGAGTCCGCTGTCCACAGCGGTAAGGGGAGCGCATCAGACGCTGTTTTGACTCAAACCCAAGGNTGCGCCTTCAGGGTCTCATGAAGGAGTCCGCTGTCCACAGCGGTAAGGGGAGCGCATCAGACGCTGTTTTGACTCAAACCCAAGGGAAGGAGCTGTGGACCATGCCTGTGCCTACATTGGAGATTGTCAGGGGAACGAGAAGGGAGGTGGGACCTTCTAATGCTTCTGCTTCTGCTGCTGCTGCTGCTGATGATGATGAAGATGATGCGGGTGCTCCTACTGATTCGGTTGTGAACAAGGCCGATGTTGGGCTCCTCTACCGAAACCCAGAGGAGGCTCTGAATAATGTCGACCTGAACGACGCCGACGATGTCACGCTGCGGGAGTTCAAGGCGAAGATGGAGGAGAAGTTTGTGGAGAACGCTGTGCGGCCGGGCGACCCCGGCTATGTTTACGACAAGCGGCTCGAGGTGAAACCGACGGAACGTAGCGAGTGGGACGATTCTGACTGAAGACGATTTTTTCGTGACGCTGACAGAGAAAGGCGAGGGAAATGCCTGTATTTCATCTTGCAATAGAAGGAAAGGTGTGTGCTGTTGCTTTGTTGGCCATTGTGTTTGATGGTGAGTTCTCTGCTGAGGCTTATCGTTGTTGGTTTTTCTCTTCACGCTTCTCGGCGGAAAACACTTTTTTTTCACGTGCTGAATGCGACAAGAACTCTTGCACAAAGAAAAAAAAAGAAAAAAAAAACGGACAAGGCGAAAAGTCTGTGGGGCGCCCGCATTATTCTGCACAGTGGAGGGGCGGAATGGCAGCCTTGCATGAAGGGGAGTTTGACCTCCTGCAACACATGCGCCTCTCTTCCGTGAAGGACGATAGCCAGTTGACGCAGAGGGAGAGGCAGGCATTAGTGGAGCAGCGGCGCCGCGAGGTCGATGAGGCACAGTACGTTGCCCACCACTTGCAGGAAAAAGTGAACCGCNTTAGTGGAGCAGCGGCGCCGCGAGGTCGATGAGGCACAGTACGTTGCCCACCACTTGCAGGAAAAAGTGAACCGCGTTCGAGAGCAGTTCGCCCTCCGGGGGCGGGTGGCGAAGCCAGGGTCGTACACGCGTGATGCCGCTGACAAGTACGGCCTCTTCTGGTTTGGTCAGGGGAAGTATAACGAGGATGAGTTGGCGGTCGGACGACCCGTCACACGCAACCAGCAGCAGCTGCAGCAGGAGCAAGAAAGCAACGTGAGCGACGACTCTGAGAGAGCTGAGGACCTTCCCGACGAGTTGCGGTTCAATGTGTGGCAGCCAGTCGAGGGTCCACCGCCACCAAGAGGTGGTCCTGTCGGTACAGCACTTGCGACGGCTAATGCGCAGCAGCAGGAGCCTCAGCTTTTGAAAAAAGATCTACACGTGGTGCCTAATGCTGCATCTGCTGCAAAAAGAAAGAAGTCCTCATTGACGCCGCCGTGGGCAGAACACTACGCCACTGACGACCGCCACAGCAACAAGGCGGCGAGTCAGGTAAACATCGCAGTGCGGCAGAAGCATCAGCAGCAGAAGCCACAAGATGTATTTGAGAGTGGCGTGCTTCCACGTGGTGTAAACGGCATAGACGATATTCTCCGACACGCACGTAACGCCCAGGAACTTGTTTTCACACTTCAGGAGTGGCGGATGCGGGAGGATAGGCGGCTCAACCAGTACGCGCTGAAGGACGCACTGGACTGTCAGCTCGCCGAGAAACGGAGACGCCAACTGGAGCAGTATGAGGCCGAACTCGTCCACATTTATGGCCCAACGATGCGTCACATCCTCACGGACGCTTTTGGCCAGCCGCGGAAAAACTACCACCTTCGTCACGGCAGTGGCGACGAGGATGAGAATCAGGAACAGCGGAAGCAGCAAACATCATTGTACCTGCAGGAGGTTCAGCGGCGCCAACTGAGAGAAAGAGAGGAAATGCCAGAGATGCGTGCTCAACGGGCGCGGCAGGCCTGGCTGGCTGCGTGGGAGGATCATAAGCGTAGGCTTGCCGATGGAGCAGCAGATAGCTTGCGAGGTGACGCAGAATTAACGACAGCGCATTCACCTTCTGAAAGGTTGCACTATCGCCCGTCCGTGCTACAATTTTCGGACCAAATTCTCCCTATGGAGCAGAGGCGCCGCGACTCACGGCGTGAATACCGTGACGCACTCGATAGGCAGCGAGAGGCAAGTGCAGCAGGGCTTAACAAAAGCGTCTCACTGCATTTCTGATGTGAAAAAGTCTCCTTGTCCAACTCCCCCTTCTGTTTGTGTTACTGACACACATTATCTACATTATCGTCAACTCCTTATTGTATTATCTTCAAATATGACATTGTGTAAATGTCTTGGACTCGCTCTTGACAACAACAGGAAGTGACGCAAGTTCCTCATTCACAAGTTTGACTGTGGTTGAAATGTGAGTGGATTTCAGATGCTATAATCAAGGGGTGTGTCTAACGTTGTGCCGGTGGGGCGTGCCAAAATAAATTTTATCTTTCCTTTCGCCTCTTTTTGTATGCGCCTTTTTGTCTGCGTAAAGGAAGTCCCATGCTGAGGAAGCCTCTGGGAGCCGCAAAGCGACCCCTCGTTGTGAGGCGGTTTGCGCGGGTACGTGTTGTTCGCACGGATGCCGCAGCGGATGACCTGAGTATCGTCATGCAGGCGGAGTGTGACGACAACGTGCTTCCTCCAGCCCCACTCACCACAAGCGCGGAGGTGGTGCGACAGTCGCCGGGTGCGCTCCTTAACAACGCCAATCGGCCTCTCCTCGTACCTCTCCTCTCGCTTTTGCGCCGCCGCGGTGCATACTGTGGAAGCCACACGCGCCAAGAACTTGTGCGGTATTTGGTACCCTCTGTACACCGTGAACGGCTGCCGTGGTTGTGGGATGATAGCGCGGAACCCAAGCCATCATCATTATCATCATCGACACCTGCAGCTGCAGCAACATCACCATCATCATCGAGAGAGGTGAAGAGTACTTCTGTGCTGCGGTCCTTGCCGTCGTTTCTCTGGCGGGCGACTGTCGAACGGGGCAAACCAATTGAGTTGGGCGAGCAGTTGCACTACTGGCACCAGGTACTCTTCGCCCTCTCTGCCAACCCCGCCTTTGCGGAGGTGGAGTCGTTTGATGAGGCCCATCGGGATCTCCTTTCTATAATTCAGGACTACTACACGGATATTGTGCACGTGCAGCGGCACCTGCCACCTCTCGACGAGGACACCGTCATGACACGGATGCCGCCCGTACTGATCCGTAAGCTGCGCAAGCTGTATGTGGAGCAGTACCGTCTCCTGCAGTATGCAGAGCTCATTCGTGCCGTCGTGGACGGCGAGGAGCTCGTGATGCCAGACTGCGGTACCGCCCTCCTGAACGATGCGGAAGTCTTTGAGTATTTTCTCACAATCCCTGGCCGCCGGGAGTCAGGATTGGAGCGCAACGAGCGTTGGGCACGCACGCTAGAGTGCGCGGCATTTGCTTTCGAGAAGCTGTTCCGCCTGTGGCGCTGGCAGCAGATTGCGGTCAGTACGGCAGTGGTGCGTCCTGCTGCGCTCCTAATGAACGTATGCGTCTTTGCGAGGAACGATAATGCAGAGGGAGAGCGGTACCGGGAGGCCATCCTTGCCGTGATGCGTGTGTTCCACGCGCAGTGCGTGAACGGTGGTAGAGACTACAATGGTGGTGACGACAAGGCAGATGCAGCGTGCGACGTGCTGCGCGCACTCCGTGATGCCGGGGTGGAGAGCATGCTTGCAAAGTGCAAGCGTCTGCACTTTGGCCCGATGAGTGGTCTTCTGAACGTTTGTACGGTGGCCTCCGTGACGGAGATGCTCCTTTGCGATGAGACAGGTCCGGCGACAGAGGCGCGCCGAGGCAGCGTTGGCCGTGACGAACTGGAGGTCCTCCTTAGTCCGCGCAAGATTGTTGGCAGTGAAATGTATGACGTTGCCAGGGGCGATGATCGTCACCGTTTTGCCGCACACTATGGCCTTCTAAACTTAAGCGCCCGTGTTGGCGCGGCGCTCCAGGCGGTCGTGCAGTCCCCTACATCGATGCGTCGGTACAGTGGCGAGCTGGGAAAGTGGTGCGCATTCATTGGGCGACCACTCCGCCTGAACATCAGCGATGTTCCTTTGGCGCAGCAGGTCAGTGGAAACTCCGTGCCGTCCTGGCAATGCGGGTGCCAGAGTGTGAACCCCGTACAAGCAAAAAGTGTCTCCTGTATCGGCTGTGTGTCGCGCGACTTGGTGCGGCACAAGTGGACCTGCCCGCACTGTTCATGGGCGGCAACCTCTGGCGACCGCATCAACACCTGTCTTGGCTGTCAGCGTCCTCATCCCCGGCAACTGGCGGTGCACGACGGTGCAGAAATAACTGTGGATAAAGAACCAGCGACGCCACTCCTGTGGTACTGCGAGTGGTGTTTCTCCTACTCTTCACTGAGCTGCGACGGTGTTGGCGTAACACCGAGTTGTGACGAGTGTGGTGCCGTGTGCTGTGGCTGGCCAACAAGTTACTTTGAGTGGGAATGTGGATGTGGGGCGGCCAACAGTTCTGCTCGCCGGTGGTGCAGGGTTTGTAGTGCGAACCGTAAGCAGGCGTGCTGCGTGTGCGCGACGTGCCAGAAGGAGTGGATGCTGCAGCCCCATGGTGTTACTGCTGCTTCTGCTGTTCCGTCGGCGGGTGGGACTAGCTGCCCGTTTTGCTCAGCACCACATCCGCGCGATGCGGCTGCGTGGCAGCGCCGACTGCTGCGATGCCCGTTTTGTCATCGCTTTACACCCGGCGACGCTTCAGCATCATGTCAGAACTGCCATCAGAGAATTGGAGTCTTGCGTCAGTTCCTTCCGCTTCATGCCGATTGGCCTTGGCTGTGCCATACGTGTGGGCATAGACACCACCACCGCGGCACAGACGGTACATTGCTTCCGCCGCCGGATGATGCCACCGAAGCATGCCAGAGCTGCGGAACGCTGCGACTCGATCCTGTTCTCTTTGACTTCCACGAGCCGTGGACCTGCGCCGGCTGTGGCGAGAAAGCAGCACGTGGGTTCAACTGTCACCGCTGCCTTTCTCTTCACCCCGCCGTTCCGGCGACGGAGGTGCATGCATGGCGCTGTATCGTGTGCCTGTCGGTGAACAACAGCTGGAGCAGCAGTTGTCAGCGTTGGGGCTGCGGGACACAGCGGTCGGCAGACGCCACGGTTTTGCCGTACTCCCCGTGGCGGTGTTCGCGCTGCGGGGAGCACAGCCTCACCGCTCAGGTTCCTCAGTGCGAGCACTGTGGATCCGTCCGTGGAGTGGTAACTGCGGCGGCGGAATCGGCAACGGCGGCGTACCCTGACACGGAGTGCACCGGGGACGAGAAGCGAGCCAGGCGGCTTGCAGAGGTGGAGGCATTGTTGGCGAGCGCGGCTGCTGTGCGTGACGACAACGACGCGCCAGACAAGAGATCAGCAGGCAGCCTGACCGATGACTGGGCGCGTTGTGTCGCCTACAGCGTGCAGCTCGCCATTCCGCTGAGTTAATATCAAGTGATGTTGAGTTACTTTCGTGTTGTTCTTGTTGTGGAAGTGTGTGCAGAAGAAAGGCGACAAAAAAAAACCGAAAACAAAAAAAAACATGAAGAACAATGATGGTTAATATGTTGTGGGCGTTGTGCGTGCGAAACGTGAGAGCCGACTCGAGGAGCGGTCTCGATGAACATTCTCGCTCCGTCTCTCTCTTTCTCTTTCTTTCTTTCTTTCGCTGCGTGTCTGTCTGTTTCGTGTCCGCCGGGGGGGCAGCAGGCACCAGCAAGGGAGAAATAAGAAACCCCCAAATAAAAGGCGGGGAAGCGAAGGGAAGGAACAACAAAAAAAAAAACTAACTAACAAAAAACAAAAAATAGCAACCTCAGGGGAAGAAAAAAAAAAAAACGAAAAAAAGAAGTGTAAGGACAGAGAAGAGCGGTTGTGTGAGGGAAGTTTTTGTTTCGTTGTTTTATAGAGAGGTGCACATATATAGGGGGCTGGGTGTCGCGAGGCGCAGGCAACACACACCATAGACGAGTGGCCCCTCGACAGTCAATTAGTGAAGCCTACTCAGCCAGTAGCCGCCCCTCACACACGCGGGCACGCACAACGACACAGGTGAACTCTACCAGGAGCACCCACCCGGTGATTGTTTGTCTTGCCTTTTGTTTTTGTTTGCTTGTTTCGGTTTCGTCTTGGAGTTTATCAGTCTGCGCTTCTTGTTTTTAGCAAGGCACAGATCAGAAGAGCGTGTGATCGGTTTCGTTGGTCATTATAAAAGAAAAAAACGCTTGGCTTCTACGCGGAAAAGCCAAATATTTGACTCTGAAAAGGGAGCCGAGAAGAAGCAAGATCCGCATATAAAAGACACGAAAAGAAACGGTGAAAGAGAAGTAGGTACAGGAAAATACAGTGGCCTTCTTCCCATCCTTTTGGCGTGTGCTTTGTGATTGGGAGTAATGTCGCGCTGCAGGGAGAAAATCGCCAAAAACCGTCTTCCCGCGTTTAATCTGGAGCTTGTCCGGCAGCAGTCCGAGGTGATCATGAAGGGCGAGGGGGAAAGTGTGTGCAATGCCGCCATGTGCCATCCAATCAGCATCATCAACGACATGCTTTGCATCGGGTCTTGGCGCGATGCCGCCGATGAGGAGTTGCTGCGCCAACACCACATCACACATGTACTGAATGTCGCGCGTGAGTTGATCCCGGAAGAGGAGCTTCACCGCATGGAGTCCATAAATTTTGTGAAGAGCAAATGTATTCCACTCAGCGATAGCCTAAATGAGGAGTTGAAGCTGCATTTTGAAGAGGCATTTGAATTCATTCGAAATGCAACCCGGAACGGCAGGGTGCTGGTGCACTGCCGCCGCGGCATCTCACGCAGTGCAGCCATCGTCATTGCATACATGATGGCCTCTGAGGGACAGTCGTTCCGCACCGCTTTTGACACTGTGTACCAGAAGCGACCTTGTATTTCTCTCAATCTGGCCTTCATCCAGGGCCTTGAGGAATATGAGGCCCACCTCCGATCCTTGCACCAGTGTAACTGCATTGAGTACGACAAAGCAAATATTGAACGGGATAAGTGCTGTGATGTGCGGCGCGTGAAAGAGGCTGTCCTGTCGGAGCCTCAAAGCGCACAGTTAGATGTGCAATGCGGTTTCAAGGAGTGGGTGGTGTGAGGGATGCGTAGAATGGGCCGTGATATGTATGACGCTCTCTTCTCTCCCTCTCCCTACGCACACATACACGGTAGCCCCATTCTCCCTAAAGTCAAAGCGTTGCATGAAAAAGCATCAACCCTCCACGGTTGTTCTTTCTTCCTTTTTCTTTGTTTGCTTTTTATTGTTGTTGGCTGTCATTCTCTTTCGCACACGCTCTCTCCTTCGCCTTTTGTTGTTCTCATTGTAGGAAACGAAGACACGTACTTTCTAAGCGCGTTCCCCTATTACGAGATGAGCATTTTTAGGTGTGTTTGTCGATGCAAGCGTGACAAAGTCCAATAGTGAAGTGCTTAATAATTGAGATTGTTTTGTTGTCTCTGTGCTTCTTCTGTATCTCACTTGTGTTGGCATGTTTTTGTTATAGTTGTTGTTATTGTTGTCTGTGTGTGTGTGTGTGTGT